AACTTGATATACAGGTTTTACGACTTTATACATTTTTTTGTCGTCGGGGATTTTTGATTGAAGGGGTACCTCCAAAAAGGGGCAAAAAGGGGGCTACTAGATATCTCCTCTATCTTCTTATGACATCCGATTTCGACGGTCCTTTTCTTATTTGAAAGGTAACTTTATGTTGGTCTAACAAAAATTTGGTGAACATTTGACAAGGTTGTTCGGAATGATAAGCAGAATAGCTTCTCAATATGCAGTTTGTTCTCGCGAGGTCTACTGTTCGCAGAACTACTAGTTTTATAAATTAATACGTGAAGCAAAAACTTTGTACCCCTATTTACGAAAATTGCGCGGACGGAGGAGTATGAAATTTTTCACACTTATAGTTTATATAGAGGAGTGCAGAATGCTAATATTTAAAAAAGAATGCATAAATATACATTAAATCAATAAAAAAAAACATTACACATACTATAATATATTTGACACAAACACGCATATATACTCTTTTGTTTATTGTTAAAGTTGTAAATTGAGAATTTTGTATTAATACGTGAATTACAAAAACTTTCTACTTTAAAAACTTTGTACCTATCCCTTTTTAAGAAAATCATTAATCAAAAATAATCATGATCGAAGTTCAACCTCTCAGCGAACTCTAGTTTTTATAAATAGCTGAGTGGTATGATTTACGAGTAGATTTTAGACAAATATATATTGAAAAATACGGTTACCTCGGCCTTAAAAGTACAAATCTTCAGTAAATTCTAGACAGGAGATAGAGATACATATAGGGAAGACGCGTAATGAACTTAAGTGTGATTTTTTTGTAGGTATAGTACAAATGATCACTCAGAGCCCTTTTTCATTTCCTTGTGACGAATCACATCTCGACTTCGGAATTGTCTATAAGCTTGTGCGTTGTTTTCTTTTTATATTTTTTTCACAGTTTTTTATGGTAATGTGGAGAGAACCTTATAACAAGTTATTTTGTTCAGCGTGTGTGTTTTTTAGTATCAGTTAACAGTAGTATCAACTATCAGTCAATAGCCTGATGACACATTAATATAGTCTATACATACTAGTTCAGATACACGGGGTATATAAATTTTTTTAGCAGTCTCTGAATTTTGATCTCGAGATTTTTGTTCGCTTATAGGTATATCGATAGACGGACTTGATCAATAAATCTGCAAACTGTCGAATTATTTTAATTTATAAACTTGTATGTACTAAAATATGTAAAATCGAAATACTCTTATAATTGGGGAACTTGGTAAGTTTGTGTATGTGTGTTTATTACTCCTTTAAGCTGAAATGATCGGAGGCCTTTGAATAAAATTTAGTAAAGAGATAGATTATCACCTGGAGTGGCAATATGATGCTTTTTTGGCACTCAGGGATGAACTCAGTGAAGCGAGGGTCGCTTGTATAAAATGGTCAAACTAAAAATGACGTCAATGTATACCATAGTATGATAGTCCATAACAGAGCGAATAGCGATTTTGTTCGCTACAAATTGCGTCGTCATTTTTCCGTGCATGATATACTGTGACGTTTAAAGTATTCGTATCAGTATGATATTTAAAAAAAATACTAAATTTTAGTTTTTTGGAGCTGGATATTTTTATAACAAAACGATGTAAGCTATTGTATAAAATAAATCACGCATATTCCCTATTATAATATCACAACATAATGGATTTACATAAATGCATATAAACTATAAAGATTTTCTATTTATCACAACTATACGGAAAAAAACTAAGATGTTACTAAGACTAAATAAAGACGCTTCGTCAGTCACTGAGCTTCTGATCCTAACGGTTCGTCATGAATCTGAATTATGAGTACGAAAATTTTGTATATGTGTATGTTTGTAAGTTCTTCACGCTGAAGGGGCTTTGGACGATGGACGCATTTGGATGATATTTAATACACGGAGAGACTATCTTTAGGTATATATGTATGTATTACATATCTACTGTTGGGTACCTACTTAGGGACAAACAAACTCGACTGAAGCAAGGGTAAGACTCTAATAGTTTTATATATAATTTATATGTCACTTTTTTTTATATGTCCCTCTCCAGCCCTCCAACTATCTTCACACAAAAAATAACGCCAATACGTCACTCCGTTTCGACGTGAAAGAAGGACAAACAATTTTCAACTTTCACTTTTATAATATTATTACTATTAGTATGGATTAAAGATGAATGATAAATATTACTTTCCTTTAATAAAATACCCGAAAAAACAAATCACCTATAGTACTATGTATTCATTATTCATAAGTTATAAGTCAGACTTAAATTACCAATTCTAAAAAAAGACCGCTCCATGACGCATGACTAGTATTTGTGTGGCTTATTATCTATGCAATTAAAACGAGGAAAAAAAATGTATGAATCATTAATTAAATAAAAACTTAAAAAAATAATAAAAACCGACTTCATAAAAGCACTAAAAAGTAAAAAATTACTGATTGGTAGTTTTCATTTACTATACATACCTAATCAAATATTTCCGAAGTCGGTGTGCTTAGCTTTGTATCGGCTGGCACCGACTTCGAATGCGGAATGAAAAACGAAACATAAACTAATTTTTAAGATTAAATTAATAATAAACGTTGTTTATTGACTTTTGTCTTGGCCGAAAATATGACGTAGGTAGCCAAAACAGATTTTAATTCCCTAAAAATAATTAAACAACCAATCGAAAAATGAAATACGGTAACTGAAGAAATACTTCTAGGCTACCTGACAAAACAAAAACCCTATAAAAATAGTTGTCCACTTCTGAGATACATATCAATATGTGTGCAAAACATGTATTTTTCAATTTCAATCCGAAGTATCATTTTCCTAAATATCAAGGTGGTAAATTGCCATATGCACATTCTTAAAATCTAATCTAGGCACTTAGCATAGATTTTCGTTTATCAAGAATTTTCACTTAACTATTTTGTGTAAATGCACCCCCTTGCACCCCCCTCCTAACGCCCTTATTCACGCTATCGTTTAGTTCTAATAAAAATAAAGTATTGCTGACCTCGCCGTTGTTTGCCAATTTTAGTATAAGTCTATACTATAAATCTATGTAAAAGCTCCTATCACACATGTATTAGCAATATCTTTTTCATAAGGGAACATAATGTGGTTTAGTATTTTATTATTATAATTGCTTTTATAAATTATGTACAATATAGTGTTGGTTAAAATTATAATTTATTGCTTGCTGTTTAAATCACAATTATTCGCTATTTCTAAAGGATAATAAATTTTTGGTACTTCATATTATTTATACATTTTTCATTGTCATTGTATCGTGCATCGAATGCCAATACTTGCTTTTTAAGCAAGAATGGGGATACATATTTTTTTACATATTTTTCAGTATATATTATTTATTCATTTAATCCTTTATTACACCAAAAAATACAATTTAAAAATACAAAAAATATTTTAATATTTTTATATCATAATTATTAAGTAGCTAAGTACTGCAGCTTTTTCTACCTAAGCCTTTTTAAGAGCCTCGATGACTTTGCTATTTAGAATATATACATATATGTACAATGTACATGTAAATGACTCTATATGAACCAACATCTTTCTGATGTGATAACAAATTGTGGCTTATCTTATCATATTCGAACACATTGGATATATTATATCGTTCACATTAGCTTATTTATCAGTTATCTCTAAGGTCAACATATTATTTTCGTACAATTAGTTTTCCTGTTACAAGTTATGACTAATTATGATTTAATGTACTTATGTAAGTTAATTGAGTCGTAACAATATTTGATAATAAAGCACATAGTTTTTATCATGCCACTGATATAAAACAGGCTGAGAAAACTGAATCCAACCGTATACCGATAAGTAAGAGTATATTATAAGCATCTTAAGATTTCAAGTACCTACATATTTTAAAAACATATATAACAGCATGCTTTATAGGCTGCTAGAAACTAAGTCTTTTTTCCAATTTTCATATTATTTTAATAGAATAAGACGGCTACAAAATGTCACTCCGGCTAGTTTATTTAAGCTCAGTTGAGTTTGCTATTGTCCAGCATGTGCCAAAGTAGACTATATCACCACTCCACCAGACCACTCTAAATTCTTTAATGTTTATATTAATCATACAAATTCTCGTTCTAACCCAAATAACAATAAAATATACGATCTGGTACTTTTGTATGTCTGCTTGTGTGTGCGCATTTTAGGCAAAACGCACTGAGCCGATTTTAGCAAAATTTTGTGTAGTGTTTGATAGCTTATTACTCGGATCAACATTTAGGAAACCCTACCAGGAAAATTTTTTATTCCCGCGGAAAAACACAATAACTTGTTTGAGTTAGTCATCCTTTGAAATTGACATGGCTAACGCTACCTAAGCATGTTAGGTTTAACAGACAACAGTCCGCAATATCAAGCACTGTATGACTCTATCTCCTAAGGTACACTCGCAATAATTATCTCTCAATAACGTACCCGAGCGAAACGCGGCTAAAGTCGCTAGTATCCATACTTCCATACTTTAATGTTATAAATTTGAAAGGGTGTTTGTTTGTTTGTCCTTGTGATTTTTTGAATGGAGATAGTCGGAGAGTGACATAGGCTACTGTTAACCGCGTGACATTATCTTATTCCCACGAGAAAAGACGTTATAATATAACCCAAGAAAATATTTATGATATGAATTACTTCAAACTTGGTATTAATGATCTTCAATACAATTAAATAAGTACATGTTTTAGTATGTTTATTTTTTTGTAGATTTATTGCGAGCGAAGCCGCGGGTTCTGCTACTATAGAATATTTAATTTAGTATTTGACATTGAACATTTTATACAAGTTCTTGTTAAAAAATATAAAGATGTTTTATGAATGATTTGAAAATCAACTACTTATTCATAAGAAATTTTGATTAAACAATATTTTTTATTTAAATAATACATTTTTTAGATTGACAATAATAAAATAAACACTGTCTCATGCTTTACTGATTCCTTTGCCATCGGAAAAGTGGTCCCATTTAGAAATAATACTGAATAAGGCATTGCCAGGACAATCTGTTAGCATAATCTGATTGTGTCCTTTTAATTTATAGTCGACACTGAGAGCTCCGTTACGTACTCCAGTAGCGATAAGAGCTTGTGTCGCTTCCAACATCTTTTGTGGGGGCTCCTCGACTGTAAATAATAATATTCGGTATAACGTTTGCAAAATTTAACTACATATATTAAAAATATAATTGTGATGATTTCTTATACAATGAAATTTGTATGAATTCTTTGTACTTATTTACCTAGTTATCTATAGATACATGTAATAAAATTCTAACTTAGTCGAATCAGTATATTAAATATTTTTTGGAAAACCTTATTGAAATAGTCATCAGTTTTTAGTATTTTTGGCTGTCTGTCTGTCTGCCTGGAAATGCGTCACAAGAAATGCATGCGTCTTTTTTATTAAACACAATTTATGGTAATAAACAATGCAAGCACTTATTGCTTACGGAAGAATTCTTAAAAAATAATCAAGGGTAAAAATGAAATTTATAGAACATAATATGAACATGCATTTACATCTGCAAGTAATAATTGATAAATATAACTGGATGACCAATTCGTGTCAGATGTGCGTCATACTAGGTATCTTAGGTAAGCGGATAGGGGCATGCCACCCGCTTAGAGGGGCGGGTGGTACCGGAGAAATCCGGCGCGGACCAAATGGCTTGGATGGGGCCGCTCGTCTAGGCCTTGAGCCGAAGACGTTGCGGCCACCGGTGGTGGGACCGCTTGGTCCCACAACCGGATGATGGGTGCCGGTTGCGGGACTGTGGTCGCAGGCCCGCATACGGCGGAGGGGTAGGCCGCGGCGGGAGAGGAGTACCGGTATTTCGGTGCGCCGTTCTCCCTACCTTCCGCGGCCTAGACGGGGCCGCCACCGTTTGATGGCGGACGCGGTGGGGCTGCAGGGGAAGAGGAGTGTCGGTGTTTCGTTGCCGCTCTCCCTGTCCTCTGCAGCCGATTGGAGGTGGCCCACTTCGGTGGGTGGTGTTTTGGTTTTATGGGGCTGCTCCGGGTACCTCTCTGACGTAGCAGAGTTGACTGTGGAGCAGCCCCATTGGTTTGGTGGTCTGCCTAGTATTTAGGCAGACCTGCCGCCGGGGCGCCGTAGTAGTTATGCGCAAGCGATCCTGCGGCGTCCCACTAAGGCGGGGGGAAGGGATGTCGGGTTTTAGTGGGTAGTACCGGCTCTTCTAGCCGGTGAGCCCCACATCACCACCTGGGGGATCAGGTGGTATGCGTAAATGCATTTCCCGACGATAAAAAAAAAAGGTATCTTAGGTAAGTACTATTAAATTTATTGCTTCAATAATTTTATATTACCCCTCCAATCTCCAATGAGGCATATACCGATGCTGACTCTATTCGCGGGCCCAGCGTGTATGCCGACCGTGTGCCAACCTCTTCCTTCATAAACTCCGCCCTCGCTGCCTATGCAGAAACTATAAAAAGTAAATTTTAAATCTGTTATTACTTGCTGGAAATGTTTTAATTTCTTTAGGATAGTATATTGAAGAAAGCTTTAAATATCTATTGGCAATAGAACATATTATAAGTAAATTAAGTCAAATATTGTTTGAATCTAATATACCTACAATTAGTTTTTGCGTTTTTATTTATAAGTTTTTTGATAACATTATCGGTGGACCTAGTTGACTGCGCTTTTATTTTATTCTGCTTGTCTACTTAATGATAATAAAATATAGATTTAGTTTGAATGGTAAAAAGATCTCTGTCCACTCTCGGGCCATGTTAACTGTAAAGTATTAGAAAAAGGAGGAAAATAAAAATAAAACCACGAAAATCAATAGAACTATTTCTTCAGACTATTTGAATATATAGTTTTATTTAATATGATTTTATTTAAAATATATCAGGAAACACTTAAAATTGACATAAATTAGCGGAAAAGCTCATTGCTAGATTGCCATATCTAAAGGAAGAAAGAACTGTTACAGAACAATGTGTTACCATTCTTAACACATTACTACTCTTATTTTGTATGCTGTATAATTTTATAAAGAGAGAAGAATTGTTTATTTGTTTTAAATTGATTCTAAAATTCCTTCATGAATAAACTTCATCAAACCAGAGTTAGTACTAAAAATAAACTATAAATAATTAATTTTTGATATAGAGTGTAGCCGAGTTAACGTTTTTAGTAATGTAGATCGCCAATTGTTGATAAACTTTTTTCAATGGGACTAAAGAAGTATTTACAATACACAATAGTTTATTCAAAATCCAATTCATATTTTATACTGTAAAAAAATAACAAAAACTCGCTTTAGAGGCGGTGCGCGTACACCTAATCGGCCGCTTGGTGCCCTATTTTCAGCGTTAAATTAAAATTATTTATTATTTTAATAGAGGTAGAGTTCCGGGAGCTGTGAATTCTTCATTGAAAATATATTTTTTTTAATTACTTTTTTTTTATTTCTTATTTATTAATAGTTTTTGAATTATTAGGTAGCGAAAAACTATATACCTTCTTTTTTGCAACTGTATTTGCTTATAACTTTTGTAATTTTTAAATGCTGAAAAATGTTTTAACATTTTTTTTTACATTTTTTTAGACGTCATTCTGAATCCAATGAATTATCGCGCATAGTTTTAGGACATTTATATTTTTTTTTCACCATTTTTAACTTGTGATCAATACTATTTATGTTTTTTGACAAGCTATGTTTAGTTTTCTTTATTTAAAGCACATAATATTTACCTATACGTGCAAAAAATAATTATTTTTTCCTTATTATGTTTTAATTATTACTTCCTAATAGAAATAAAAAAAATAAAATAAACGGAAAGTATAAATTTTCCTTATGATATTTGGTTAGGTATATAGTTCAGGTGATAATGAAAAATAAATTTAAATTATGACTTGCACGCGTATCTAGGTCACTAGTGTTTCAAATAGGTATTTAAAAGCTTTTAGCTAAAGTTACCGATTTGCATATTTTAAGCATAACTTACTGGTATCCTATGTCACCCCATTCCAAGCTATTATGATAATTCTGCATGGACCTCATTGCAGCCATACACTGTGCAGTGGTGTTGCAGGCGGCTGGCAGATAGGTGTGGTGGATAATCACGTATGGTACAGGAGTTTGTATGCGTTCGCCATCTTTAGGTGGAACTGCTTCCCAGTCTTCCCTTGTATAAAATGTATACGGTTTTTCCTCAGCGCCTAGGAAGTATACATATATGGTTAATATAATAAAATTATACAAAAATTTTAATCACAACTTGCACTTTTACACGTTTTTGTATGTACCAAATTTTACAAAATATATTTTATATTGTTATGCTTATATTTTTTAGATAAGTAAGATTGAATATTATATTATTTTCTTCAGCCAAAACCATAGGTAAATAGAAAAAAACTCACCATTACTTTTTGGATGACCATTTACAAAATAAAAGTTTAAAATTGCTAACGCAAAACACGTGTACATAGTTGAAGTAATCATTGTAAACAAATGTATTATATACAATTCTAGTGCTACTTAAGTACTCTATACGAGAACATTTGCTTCTTGCTTAAGTGATTATGCGTTAGGTGTACCAATTCATTCTTTATATGACCATATTGCCCGAGCGGTACTTTCCCACATGACACAATAAAACAATTATAATGAAATATACGTATACGTACTAAAATACTATATATTGTAGGTATAAAGATAATATGGGAGATAAATTTATTAAAATAGTAAATAAATTACTCTGTTCCAGTACATTGTTTACAAAATCGATAATAACATGACATTGATCTACAGATCAAATTGTAAAAAGGTCGAAATTGTATATTGAGATGACGCCAGATTCATCGGTTTGATGGCATATTCAAAGCTGTTGTTCTAATTCAATGGGAAAAATATCCTATTGGTTGGTAGCGGTGAAAAGTTCTAAAAGTAACTACTACTTAAGCTTCAAGTTCTCCTACACATTCAAATACGAGTATAAAGCGAGACGCATGTTATAATAGTGTGCTAATAGCACAGTCGTGGACACGTAAATAGTAGTTGAATGAATTGATGTTCATAGTTTAGATACACAATTTCCCTCTCTCAAGACATGTAGATTACCTATCCGTAATTAAAAAAAATATTAAAGACTATATATAATTAAGCGTGTTATTTTCACTTTATAAACTAAAAACCTTTTAGTGCCTTAAAATATACAAAGATTTTTTTGTGACAATATGTATTTTTTATTGGTCGTTTATTTTATATAATAACACTAGCAGAACCCGCGGCTTCGCTCGCGCTAAAACTGCAAAAAATCTCCAAAAAGGTAGTTTCATATAAACTTTCATCCCCTATTTATCCCCCTTATAGGATGAATTTCGAAAAATGCCAAGACACGTATTTATTTAATTTTATTGAAAAGCACTAACACCAAGTTGCAAGTAATTCTGATTATAAATATTTTATTGAATTCTATTATAACGCGTGGAATTAGATAATATCCCGGGGTAAAGTAGCCTATGTCACTCTCCAGCCCTACAACTATCTCCACACAAAAAATCACGCTAATCCGTCACTCCGTTTCGACGTGAACGAAGGATAAACAAACAAACAAACAGACAAACAAATAAATAAACAAACACACTTTCACATTTATATTATTAGTATGGATATGTAGTGTATTATATGTAGAGTGAGTCATGATTTTTTTCCGTCTCGCTGTTTCCATTGCGATGTAGGCACAGTGACGTCGGAAAAGACGAAACGTTTCTCTGTGGTAGGCGGTGGCACATAGGTCATCAGTCTTATCTATTACCGTACTTGATCTTGATAAAGATATATACTATAGTCAAAGTTAAATGAAAAAAGAATGAAGTGTAAGTTTGACATACAATGCTATTTGGACGTACAAGTAAGATTGTGCCATGGGGTCCAACTTGTAATTTTTGTAATTGGGTACCTATTTGTTAAATAAACTGAAAGGAAGTAGATTCGTGAGTTACATTTTAGATAGGTACATATAATGGAAATTCAGTGCTTTGATTTTTTTAGTTTTCTTGTTATCGAGTTTTAAATATTTGTAGGTTCAAGATTTTATATTTTTACACATTAAAAGAAAACTGCAATAAGCTACGGAACTACAATTAAATTATTTAAAGTAGAAGTAAGTAGTAAAGAAAGTGTTTTTGCATTATAAAGAATTTTAATTTAAGACCATTCTGTCTTGTGTGTATTCGGAACTTAATATTTTAACCATCGATACTTTTAAAAATAAAATAAATATAGATTTTTTAACTTAACTAGCATTGCCTGCGGCTCAGATGACCAAAAACCAATTCTTAGGTTTTACATATTAGTATACTGTTACATTGCAGTTTTTGTATTTTTACAAAATAAGATATTTTCCCGCAGTAAAAAGTATCCTATATGTTGACCCGGATAACCAGCTATCCAATATCAAATTTCTTCAAGTGGTTTTTCTGTGATGCGGTAACAGACAGACAGACAAAAATTCTAAAAACTATAGACTCGGCCTCTGTATCGATAATAGTAAGATTCAATTCAATAAGATTTTCCAAAAAATATTTAATGTAGGTACAGATTCGGCTTAGTTAAAATTTTATTATATGTACAGATAAATGATGGATTATTCAATTTCATCTCAAAATAACAGAGAATTGATATCAAAGTTTCAATTTATGAAAATAAAATCAAACATCATCATGGGAACCGTATAGTTTTCCGGGATGAAATGTATCCTATGTCCTTTCCAGGGCCTAAAACTATCTTCTTAACAAATTTCATCTAAATCGGTTCAGTAGATTCAGAAATTACCCCCTACAACGTCACAAACTCACAACCTCATAAACTCACAAACTTTACCTGTTTATAATATTAGTATATATACTTATTTTTACTAGCACAAGCATTTTTTTTAAGTTCATTAAAATAAATATTATACCCCGCGCCGATAAAATACTCCATTCAGAAATCGAACCTAAACTGTTAACCGTAGTAGAGTAGACAGAGCTTCAGATATCATTTTATTTATCTAATAAATCATTTTTGAAAGGCAAATACGATTAATTAATCAGCACAGTACATTTTATCGATTAATCAATGATTGATGACAATAAATTCTTATAATCAAAGATACTAAGATGTAGATACCATAGAATATCATTTAGGGTCGGAAATGTTGTCGATAAAGAAGGCGGGGAAGAACCTTGCGAAACACACTTAAATATCTGTACTTTTTTTAGCTTTCCTTAATAAAGCTTTTTCTTATCTCTTAATCATTATGACGTGTTCGTAACATTTTTTTCTAGCAAGGTAAATTTAATTAACATAAATTACAAAATATGTATGTTTTATGAATCACCAAATCTTCTTAGTTGTAAATGTAAAACTTGTAACGCTTTTTTTTTAGTTTTTTTTATTGAGTGTGTAATTGCCGTTGGTCTTACTGGCCTTTGCAGGGTCACAAGTCGCATTAGCGAGCAGATGTTTCTGAATATATGTATAAGGCTTTTAGAGGAATTAACCTATACTTATACCACAGATCATATAATACTCCTGTACTCCCAAGCGAAGTGAGTAGAAATCTAAATCCTTGGTATTAAAAATTCCTTGATTTTTGAATTCCTTTAATTTGAATTCCTGGCTTAAATAGACAAAATGTTTAAATTTAAATAAACATTTATTATTATTTTTTAAAATTTAAATTCATGAAATCTGAGTTAATTTCTGGCTAGTCGGGCACCAACCAATACTAACTCAGATTACTATTGGTGGTATAAAGATAATAGAGAGTGCACTTGTGTCTGCGTGAACACTTGTGCGTTATAATATCTCCTGCGCAGATGACAAGTCTCAATGAGATTGGCCACCGTGGCCGAAATCGATCGGAAGGACATTATCAGATTGTAAGTAAACGAATTTGTAACCGACTTCCGAAAAAGGAGGTTGTAATCTCTATGCAGTTACTTGTTTGTGTTGTTACCAATTTTTATAAAAACAGATTTAAAATAATTATAGAGACATCATCGCAAAATATTGTTAATTTTATGAAATTAAATTTAATATGTTGAGAAAATTGTCGAATTAATTATTCCATGGCGAGATGATGATTTCATAACCTTTTACGATGTGTGATGTGTAACGGGTTCGAAAGGCTTGGCAAACATTCTCATTTTGTTGTTTGGATGAGGTTTTTCCAATAAAAGATTTTATGCAATTTGAAAAACATTATTTACAAAAAACACTGAGGGAAGCACTTTGAGGAAGTTATCCGTCTCAACAACGTGTAAGTACGCCAAGACCCGCGCAACTTTTACGCTCGTATGGCATTCACAAAACGTAACGTTCAACTTATTTAATTTTAAGTTTATTTAGGGAATAACATATTTTTATATCTTCTTTTTACCATTCTGTGATATATATTTGGAGCATTTTAAGATGTTTATTATTTATTAAAGTAATGTGTTTGGTACGATAAACTAAGAAAGCGCTACATTTAAATAGTCATATACTCGTAGGTATTTTAACACAATTTTGTACCGTCCTTCCGAGGAGGCTGAGATAGTATTTAACTTTAATAAGAACTATATGTAATTATTTAAATTAAGGTATGGCAGGCCTGACATATTTTTGAAATAAAATAAAAGAAGAAAAAAAAATATAAAAAAAAACATCCTCACTTTTATTATTGTTAGAATAACTAAGGTTTAATAGTTTCGCTTCGGGTTGTTCTTGTCTGTTTTGTTGTTCATACCGAGCAATATATACCTAACCGAAACCGAACCGTATATATCAAAATAAAGTAGTATCGAGTTATTGTGTTATCGTACAAGTATTACTTTGTTGTACGATAACACATTTTTTTTAATTATTATAATTCAAACGACATTTTCTTGCCTAAATTTGAAAAATTATTATGTTTAGCAATCATGTGTGTATGTTTATGTATATACTTATAAATTTTAGTATTTATGTATTTAATATTTATTATATATGATACTAGCGACTCACCCTCGCTTCGATCGGTTTTGTCCCTAGCTTGATTCCCCGTACAAACGTTCATCCCCATTTTAACCCCCTTAATCTTTAACCAAATTTCACGTAAATTTGTTCAGTAGATCCAGAGATTACCCCCTACAACGTCACAAACTCACAAACTCACAAAATTTACCTTTTTATAATATTAGTATAGATATTAGTCGGTATATAGTATAGATAACTTATATATGAATGTAATTATAGTGTGTAGGTATATCACGTATTGTAGGTATATGTTTATATATTATATTTATGTTTATATAATGAGATTTTTACGTTTTTCCGTGATTTTTTTTTCAATTTTCCTCTCCATGATATCCTTCCTTGGACTTCAATGTATATTAGAAAAAAATGCCAAATTAGTCTAGCCATTCTCGAGTTTAGCGCTTATTACATTTAGCCATTCATTTTTATTTATATATAAGGTACGAGTATGTCTAAAA